ACCTATGCAATAAATTATAACTTTAATATTTTAGGAATGTCATTAAGTTATTTAAGATTTTTTTTCCACAGTTTTCTTCAGACAAATGACAACCCACTTACTAATCTGCTTCTGGAAATTTTTGTCTCATAGTTCAGACTCTGAAGGATAGCTGCTATTATACAAATATGCCAAATATACTTTTCAACATGCACCTACACATAAAAGAGGCATTATCAATTCTTTACACCAGGTCATCAGCATTATTAACCCTTCTTTAATGTTGTTTCCACTGTCTGAAACATCATTTGAAAACTTTTGTCTTGTACATTTATTAGGTGAACCAGAGAAGAATCTTTTCCTGCATGATCACAGTCATCACCACAGCTTTTTCTTCCAGCTGCATGCTTGCTAATATACTTTTTTTTGGTTCTCTTTGCAATTCATGGTGCAACTTGTGCTGAAACTTGGAGACTGACTGTCTTCACTGCATGTATGACACACTACTTCTTTGCTGAAAATCTCTACCCTGTATGGTGATTGTTTCTATGTGTCTTAGAAACAAATCTGGTCTCTGCAATTTGGCTGTACTCATATTCTGTTTTAATGTCCATTTATTCTTTTTGCTTTAACACACAATATATTTCGCATATTATCTGCCGATAGATAGTTTTAATTTACCCTTCAAAGAGTCATGGCTGCTTATGAAATTTGTCAAACATCTTGTTCTTTGATCAGATATCAGGTATTCCATATGTAGCTTTTACTAGTTATTCAGCTCTGTATTCTTCACCATTATTGTGCAGATCCTTAAAATCAGAAATGTGGTTAAGTGGAAAGAAAATATGCCTTTTGCAATCAATAGTCTTGTTAGAAGTATTCTGAATTATTCTCTCTTGCAAGCCTTGCAAAGGACTTTGCAAGTTGCTTTCACACTGCTGAAGGATTATGTCATAGCTTTCTATAGCCTGCAGACATAGCAGAATATCTGATTTCCTGATTTCTCTTTGGTAGTGCTTTTGTCCGCAGAATTCTGGAAATACGGCCTTCATTACCTTCAATTTTCTGCCGGATCCCTCCAGACTGAGAAATTCAGCTGGCTTATTTTTTCCAGAAAATAAGAAAATTCCACCAGTCCCACAAAGCAGAAATGCTGGAACATTTGCAGAATGCACTACTTGAAAGGGTCAGAATTACTACAGGTTCATACCCGGTCGTGCGACAGTATCTATAAACTTCTCGAGCAATAAAACTAAACTGCAAACCCTGGATCCAACATTATCAACTTTCAGATTTTATCAGAGTCTTGTGATACGTGGTGCATTTCTGTATGTTTCAGCTGCTAGAATTATTTGGATATATGAGAATATTAGGGTTTGCTTCAATTACAAATATACATTCCAAGACTTCATGTTTCTCAAAGAAAAATTAAAATTCAGTTTTTAAAAATGTTTTAAAATTTAATAGTAAATAAAAATGTATAATTTATTAAATATATTGTTTAAATTATTATATTTTTGCTCCCAAGGCAAAGGACAGGGAATGATTTATGATGTTTGAATGCTTTTGGTTGATAGTGCTATGAAGCAGGCTATGATTTTGCCAGTTCCATGCCACTTTTGGAACTACCAAATCTGTGTATAGGTTTGTTCTTCTCTACGTATATTTGCACAGAAGGGGAACATTTGGGCTCTGGTAGGGAAATACATAAAAGCAACAGAGACTAGCTTTGCCTTAAGACTAGACAGTGTTATAATCACCCTCCACAGCTTTGGGAAACAAGAGTCTTGGTTTTGCATTTAAATCTGTTTGGCAATATGCACTATGTCTCCCAGCCACTTGGCTATTTGCAGTATTCAGAGGGTTTGAAATACTTTAAAACAAATTGAGCTGAATGGAGATCAACTATTTCCTGATTGGTGTGTCTTCTAGCCCCTAATGTGCCTTTCTAGGTCTTAGTTATTTCCTTTTCATAAAAAAATAATTGCTCTTAAAAATGTCTGGTTGGATTTCTTTTGTAAAGAGAGCTGAACGGAGGAGTTCTAGGCAGATTAACTGGACTGCTTCGTTTAGTAGGCTCTCTGAGCTTTGAAGAATGCTTCAAAAGTATGGAATAAAGCTCTTTTTCTTCCTATTTTTACATGGGCTAACAACTTCCCAGTCTTTTAATTTGCTGTCCTGTTGCATTAGAGTTCATTATCTTTGTGTTACAGTTTAGTAATTCTGTCTGAGTTTCTATCCTTTCTCTCTTCTGAGTCCCTGCTGAAAATGGCAATACAAGTAACACAGCAGAAGCTTGTATACAGACAGAAGATATAATGAGAATAACACTTCTCGTGGGAATTAAATGCTGCATCACAGGGTTTCATTTGCAAATATCTGCAGTGGAAGGGCATGTTTAAAAGTGCATTCAGATTCACTGTTTGGAGTCTCTTCTCTTCTGTACTATGCTCACACTGTTCACATTATAAAACAAGGGATGCATTTGGGGGTTATTGGAGGGTTAGGAAACAGTCAGAACATGGTTTTAAGGTACAGGAAAGACAAGAGTGACTTTAAACCTACAACACCATTCACAAAACAATTTGCAAATATTGGTTAATAGTATCTTTACTTTACAAATGAGAAAGTCAAAGTATAAAGCCTTCAAGTGATTGTCTAACGTTATTTTGCCAGATGGTGGCAAAATACAAGTCCTCAAATGACCATTCCATTATGCTAACTTCTCTATTAGGCTATCGCTTTTGCTTTGAATACATAGATTATGTTTTGAATGAAAAGCCTGACCATGTTTGCTGGATACCAGTCCAGAAGTCTTTTAAGACATAATAATAGGTGGGGAAAATGCATATGGAAAGTTCACATATGGGGCTAACTAATATGGTGAAAAGACTAGCTATTGTCATAACTAAATACAGTTAGAGAGATACTAACTGAAAGAAAAAGGACATACAGTGTGGAAAAACGTGCTCTGATTCTTGTTTGAGATTTGTGCCATATGGGCTTCAAAGGATCTTCAATCAAATCCAAGCTCTTTGTTAATATGAAACTTGGGAAAAGCTTAAAATGTCAATGTAGGTATTTTCTTTTAATGACAAAGAACGCAAAGCTTCCCGAATCGTAATCTTGACTTTCAAAGAGATCTTGTCAGTTCTGTTGATGTCAGTATCAAAAGAAGTTAATAATTATATGAAGAAAACACATTTCTCTTAGTTACTTTTTTTCCTCGTACACAATTTTTCAGGTTAATCACAGAAGCAGGATCAGCAGGGGTATATACCGTGCACCTTTACTTTTGTAGCCCTTTGTCTAAATGCTACCAAAATTCATACAGGCGAATTATGGCATTATACCTCTTCTGGCATGACTAAACTTACATTTGATAGGCTGCAAAGAGAAAAACCTAGTAGTTATCTTATATGTATGTTACTTGTACAGTATAATTATACCAAAGGAGTGGGTTGCCTTTTTGCCATGTAGAGGTCACATATTTGGCCATGTTGTATATCATTTAAAGGAGGCTATAGCAGATATTAAAGGTGAACAGGTGACGTATGGAAAACAGTGAGTGAATTTCACTTCTGCATGATTACTGCTTACTTGAGACAAAAACCCCTAAGCACTATTATTAAAAGTCAGGAGTACTTCAGTCAGAATGGGCTCTGTTTTGCGGAGCACTGGTCCTGATTTTGATCTGTGCTCCACTTCTAAAAGACTGTTAACCCATAAAGGCAGCGGAGGACTTCTATCCAGAGAAGAGTTTGATTTCTAAAGGAGTTGCCATCAAGATCAGTTCTGAAAATCATCCAGATAATGAAAGAAACAAAAATGTTTGCAGTGCCTTACTGCACACAATCATTCTTTCTTTTCTATAAGGAAAGAAAGAAATTATAATGCAGTAGTTCTCTCTGGAGGCTCTTTGAAATTTTGTTCAGAATGCAAAAGGATAATCCTGCCTACAAGTCCCTTTGGTTGGACTTGTGCAGGATGATTCAGGCAGACACCTTCACTCCTGCTCAGCAAGAGATACCAGCAGAATAGAGCACAGCAACATTTATTCATTTATTTATTATGTTCCATTTCACAGAAAACTTTAAGGTCTTAGAGCTTAAAAAGGCATGTCTCTTGCCCATTATGTTTCTTTCAAAGCTGCATCTATGAAAAGTAAAAGGAGCTTGGAAACACTGTAAAGTCAACACTTTTTACATACTCATTTGCTCTCCTTTGGATTTTTCATAAAGACAAATCATGCAGCACATTTCTGTGCCTTAGTTTCCTCAGCTGGAAAAGGGGAGGAAAAAAAGTTGTGCTACCTCCCACATGTGTTGGGAGGATAAATGCATTTGATAGGCTTGAATAGAAAGCTTTACATGAGGATATCTACAATAACCAATGTTTTATTTTGTCTGGCCTCTCATCAAAAGAAACACAGGGTTAATTCTAGAAGCTAATTCTTTGAGCTATGCTGTGGTATAAATCTAATCTTGGTATTATTCAGTGCTATGTTCTAAAAAAACACCACACTTTTTTTTTTTTCCATATAGTACCGCACCATAATTACAATTGCTGTAGAAGCAGGAGCCAAGCAATTAAATTCCCCATAGGTGTCGCATTTAATTGTTCCTAGTGAATCAAGATTAAACATGGCAACAATGCACAGCACAAGATAGCCTAAACTCAGCTTTTCCTGCAGAACTGCAAATAGTAGCAAATCAAAAGACTGTTCTCCTTAATTACCACTGTATGAGGCATCATGCTAAAAGCAGGCTCACTCTGTAATGTTTTCTATACAACTACAGTATGTACATACAATGCAAGCCTTTATGCACCACCTAATAGACAATATTATACGCACAATTATTGCTAACTTTCATTTTACAGGGAGAAATCACTGGTGAGCCTAAGACATTGGCCTCTCAGCTTCCCCAGCAAGCAATGTGTTGACTAAACTAAGGGAACAGTTTTACTTCCTGAAGCCAGTAGAGACTATTTATACTTAAACACATTTCTTCACAACTTACAGCATGTTGTATTAGGTGCGAGCCTGTGAGCTGGATGGGCTGCAGTCTCTGTTTGTGAGGTTTGCAAGCTGGAGCTTGTGGAGCACTTCACCAAGTTTACACATTTTCTCGCTCTCTTTATTCTGAAATCTGCTACCCTGCTGATCAGAAGTCCATTTGGGACTTGAGCTGAAGTCATCAAGTGTCAAAGAGCTGAAAGAATTAAAACAATGATGTAGGTTCTGGGGGAAGAAATTAACGTTCTTGTATGTTAATACTGATTTAACAGTCCAATAATAATTTTCTTTTGTTCTGAGCCAAAATAAGCATTCGTGCAAGTTGAAATGTCTGTCGTTATCCTCCTTACAGCTTTTGTCAGGATTTTATATGGCTTCATGCTATTACTTCTTTAATCAGCTTTTCAAACAGTGTAAGGCAGCAAGGCTATCCCCGTAATGAGTTTCTTCCTATTGCAGGTTAACTGCTTGTTGAGATTTCCATTCAGTCAGAGAAACCATCTTGCTCTCTGACATGTTTTTACTGATTATCAGGGTTACTGGATACCCTGTGCACTGAATTTTAATTGGCATCAAGCTATATGTTTTTAGTGAGAAGAACGGGAAGTGCTTCTCTTGAAATCCTTGGGAATTCAAGTGCTGTCTGTGAGGAGGAACTGATTCACAGGATTTACTGATTCACACAGAAGAAGAGTATAAATCAACCTTCCTATTTTTGAAATGTTCACCTGAGGCATAAACAAGGAAGAGGAAATTGTGAAAAACCTTATTTAAACATACAATTATTCATGTTGTAATATCAGATGTTATTTTAATTACTGTACAAGGTCACCAGTTGGCAAGCAGATTTTAATTTTAAACATGTTAACCTGCTTTTATCTATGAATTGAAATAGCTCAATTATACTAAAAAAACCCTCCAAATATCTGAATTTTATAAGGGTCCTTTTAGCAATATTAGTATAGCAAATAATGATTATCTTGATTTTACATTAATAAAAATTAAAATTGGGGAAACAAAAGTCAGAAAAATGAATTTGTCAGTAAATTGTCTTAAGAACGGAAAGTGAAATAAGGCTAGGTAAGCAGATGAGCAGACATGCAGAGATGTACAATTTTAAATTTTAGAACAAATGAGGCAGAAGGAAATACACATAAATTGGAATGAATCAAACATTAATTAATTATAGTATAATAGCCAACCTCATCCACTTAGGAAGGATAGGTGTTATATTTCCAGTCTGTAGTTATGAAATCTATTTCTTCAACTTCATCTTGAAAAAACAGAAATTACAGTGTGTGCCCTCAAATCATCACAGTCCAGTCACCTGGGAAAAAAAAAATCTCCAAAGCTCCTTGTAATTCCACATATTTGCTGTCAATTAATTAAAACTTAATGTCCATAATCCACATTTTCATTAGTAAAAGGCAGGTTAATTGATAAAGTAGGGAAAAGAGAATCATTAAAAAATACTGTAGCCAAGGTAACACCATGTTTCTGTGGAAATGAGATATATACCTTTTGAGACGATTGTATCAGTGATGATGATCGCTCTAGTACATAGCAAATATTTTCATTATATATTTTGGCCAAGAAATTGCATCTATATTTACTCCTTTAGAAATGTTTTAAACACTGCAGAATGGACCAGCTTAAAGATGAAACACAATGTAGTTTTTTTTTTCTGATTTGCAAGAGGTGGTAAGCCACTGTTGAGCTACAGATAGTGCCGAGGGAGGGAAATGAAAAGTGTATTAATGAACATATCTGAAAGTACACCTTGGATATGCTGTTCTCTAGCCATTTTTTTAAAGTATCTGAAGGGAAAAAAAGGTACTGCACCATAAATAACTCTCTCAATGCCTCTGTCTCTTTTCCTTCAAACATGGCCTAATTTGTAGCTTGTTTGCACAGCTAGTAAGAATTTAATTTTATTTAATTAACTGCAGAAAGCCTGATTTATATCTTCTGCAATGAAGTGAGGAGTCAGACTCAATTGCTCAAATATTAATCTCGATTACTCTAATGTAAAATTGAAGGTGACCTCAATATATTTTTGACACTGAATTTATAAAAAGCTTGCTGAAAATCCAAATTTTGTTAATGTGTCTGTGAGAAAAGTAGACCCCAAAAGGTAGAACTTTTCTATGCTCTTTTTGAAAAGGGATGGGGTGACTAAATTCTGATTTCGGTGACACTAAAATCAATGGACTTGTTCTGGATTTACACTACTGCAAATGTTACAAATACAGCCTGTAGCCATCGGAGGAAAAAGGTTTATGAATACAGAAGGAATATTTTAGGATGGGAAATAGTCTAACTTATGTGCTGAATAGCTATGTGGGAATTTGCTGCAGTAATTACCCTCCTATCATTAGTGACAAGTAATTGCTATAGCAACCCCACTGCCACCTGTCTCACACGCACTCTTTCTTTTTCAAACACACACGCGCACACACGCACGCATATGTGCGCGCGCGCGCACACACACACACACACACACACACACACACACACACACACTCTCTCTCTCTCTCTCTCTCTCTCGCTACATATTCATAGCACTGAAATAAAAGCAGAAAAACCTGTAGCTTGATGTCATTTATTGAATCACTGTTTTTTCTAATCAACAACATATAACCTCTTCCTCCCCCGCCAATACCTCATAAATATTTATTAAAAATAAAATATTTGTGTTGTAGGAGATAGGGCTGTTCAGCCAAAGTACCTCTATTCAGCACTAATTCTCTGAGGGAGAGAAAAGAGGATTCTCACAGCTTGATTTCTTTTTTCACTTTATTGCACAAACCAGGCCTGAGACTGATTTCACAGCTATGGATGTACGTTCTAACAAAGGCAACTATATAATATAGGTAAAACTGGTCTGATATTCATAACCAAGGCAGCTGAGATCAGTTCTCTTTCATTTAGACATATCTAAAACACCATGTTTTCTGCCCCTTTCTGTCAGCACAAGGTATTACTTTATCACATACAAACACTTAAAATTTGCACAGTTTATTTTTTATCTTGTCCACAGTGAGCGGAGATTAAAGCACAGACTGCGTATAAAGATTTCACTATAACATTATCTGACCCTGGTTCTTGTCTTGTTCTTGTTCCTGAGTTTTGTTACCACTCTTGACAATACCAGTGGAACCTGATTTTGAAATCTTAAAATAACCTACAAGAATATTAGTTTCTTTATATCTGAAAGCACCAGAAATTCCCTGTTCTCAATGATCAGCCAGTGAAAGAAGAGAACCGTTGCTGGTCCCTTACTGCTGTAGCTTACAGAACTCCAGGCTGGCATCTAGTGATACGCGTTCTTCATGAGAGGGTTTTGCTACATCAGCGCATGACTTCACATTTGCTAAAAGCTTTGTCACCACTAGATGTCATCAAAATACCAATAAACAGTGTTCAGATCGCCAAGTTTAAAAACACCAGATCTCTCTAACCCTGTCACTCAGCATGTTCTAATGTGAAGGCGAAATAAAACAGCATTTAAAATATGAAATAGGAGTAACAAAATGCAGGAAAAGCATGCCTTGACATAAGCCATTTTTGTCCCATATGCTTATTCCACCCCTTTGGATCAAATGAAACACTTCATAATCAGTTCTTAATATATTTTTTTCCCTTTCAAGACACAGATTTTCTCATTCTGTTCACTCCATCTAAAAATAACTGTGAACAACAGTTCTTAATGCTGCTGAGGAAGAGAAGGGAGATCCCTACTGAAGTCCAGTAGTATTCAATTTTTTTGGATATATTAAATAAGAAATGATAAAGAATATTGTTTCTGATAAAAGGTTCAATGCTCAAAGTAAATCAGTTTAACATCTCATTTGAAATTAACCTTACTGTTTTCATTTTTTTGCTGAATAAAAAAAAAGGATTTTTTTTAAAACTCAGATCAACTGGACAGGAGACATAAACTTAAAATCACCTTGCAGACTTTTAATAAGGGCACTAGAAGATAACCGCCCCTTAAATCCACTGTACAACCTCCTGCATCTGCTAGAAATCCAAATGTTTTATCTATTTGATTTAGAAGCTAACGGGAAGAAACTGACTGTGTCTGATCAGCTTAGCTTTTAGAAAGGAATGGTTGGCTAGGCACGTGAGGCGTGGGTCGACTTCAGCTTCCAAGAAGAAAATTCATGTACTGTCCCTTATACTATTTGTCTCATCTATTTCTGATTAAATTATTCATTCTTCTTCTGATGTTCTATCTCGGCCTGTCAAAATACAGGGTTTGCAAGCAGAAAGTAGCATTCATTTCTCAGACACTTGTAGTCCTTCTGTGCTAAATCTTTAAGCAGTATATATTAATCCCAAGGAGTTGTTGGTAAATTAAGTCTTACATTTTGTTACCCATATCTCTTTAATTTTTCCACATATCTGAGGATTAAGGGTGTACAAAAATTGTTAATTGGAAATTTGTGCCTGTTAACAATCGGAAATAATTTAAAGATAAATGAACAACAACAAAAAAAAGAAAACTGCAAATGTGTGCAAAGTCAAATGCTGTCTCAACAATATTATTGGGAGAGTTATAATGCTACCATTTTTAATAATGTAAAGTATTATATGGCAATGAAATGGCACACTGAGGTCCCATAAGAATTTTTTTCCTTTTCTCCTGGGTATTGATAATATCATCAGCATATAAAGACAGGTTACTGAAATGAATCCATGTTTTTTTGTATGTAATTTGTGAATTCAGAAGTCAGAATCTAACCTCAAATGGGGCACGTTGATTTAAAATCAGCCGATGTTCATTTCACTTTGGCAGCTATCTAATAACTTACGATGGAGACGAGATAAACAGTTTTTTTTAATATCCATCAGAAATCATATTGTGCTATGGATGAGCTGCAGGACACAGATAGCACTCCACCAGTGCCCTCGTCACAGAGGTCAGTGGTACATTCAGCCAGCGCCCAATACTGTGACATATTGAATACTGCTTGCACCCAATTCTGTCGTATGTTGAGACCATAAATGGACCGTTTCTTTATGGATTCAGGTCCCTGTTTTGAGTACTTCAGACAAATCACAGTGTTTTCCCTGAAACTTACTCTTAGAAATGAACATTCATGGCATTATTTCTCCACTCAGTTCAG